AATAAATAAATTTATAATAAAACAACACAATTATAAATTTACAGTATTATAATAATGTAACTTTATAATTATAGCAGTTTTAGAGATTATAAATTTTCGAAAATAATGCAAGACTCCAAAATTAAATTACCAGTTGACCGTGTAGTTGTGTATAGAAGGAATTAAGTGACAAAGCCGTTAGCCTATCAAAGTTGCTCCAAAAATAAATGTGTGGCGAGGCGACTATAGCTAAAATAAAAAACTCTTTCATTTTCACACACATTACAGCGTGGCTGTCGTCCTCTTTACAAAATTTTACAATAAATACGAGAAAGATACCCATTGGCTCTTTCTTCATCACCTGAGAAAACGCCTTCTCTCTCTAACACGGCGGAGAGGAAGAAGACACCCACCGCCTCCTCCTCCTCCTCTTTCATGTTCCTTCTCTTTCATGTCGTCGCATTTGTATATGAGTTGATCACAAAGAATACATACATATTTATATAGATATAAAAGTTGAAATTTTGTGACGAGTGCCGGAGGGGTAAATGACGTGTAAGAAACATCCTACGGACCTCAGTAGCAGCGTTGGCGTCTGCGCTTCTTGTCTGACGGAACGCCTCCTCTCGCTCATCGCCGCCCAGGAACAGGTACACCTTGAGGATCACCGGAAATCTGACCCACCTCAGATAAATTTTCCTCGTTCTGTTTCGCCTTATGTTAGTCGACGGAAATCTGATGTCTCTTGGCCCCACCACCACTACCACCACCTCCTTCGCTTCCATAGCACTCCTCAGGTGGGTCCTACATATACCACCACCACCACCACCACCGATTTCGCAGCCTCTACATCATTCAACAAGAAGAAAGGTAGGTTCTCGTTAATCTCGAACCTTTTCAGGCCCAGATCCGAGAAATTGAATTTGGATCCTAGGGTTGATCCTCATCGGGATTCTTACGAGGAGCCGTCGTCGTCTCAGTCCTCTTCTTGGTTCTCAGCGATCTTCTCCGGACGCCGGAAAAAGCAACAATCGAGAATGTTCTACATGGACACGGAGGAACCAGCTGCCGGCGAATGGAGATCTTGTAGGGTGGTAGATCGGGGAATGTCGCCTGTTAGAAGAGAGAATACCGAGGACGAGGACGGTGATCGATCGACGTATGGGAGCTCGCAGGAGGCGTCGCCTGGGTGGCGGTGGCGAAGGACACCAGTGGCTTGCCGACGAGGGAAGGCGGCTTGTGGGCAGGGCAGAAACGTGTCCAGATTGGCGTTCTGTATGAGTCCTCTGGTGAGGGCGAGTCCGAACCGGCACTGGAACCAGAAGGGAGGATTACCGCCAGAGATAGCATTTACCGGCGAGATTCGAGCTCCCGTGAAGCCATGCCCGGCTGCAGCGGCGCCGTTTTGCAAGAATCGGTCCAGAAAACTTGCTGATTTTGGCAGAGTACATCACAACCGTTGAGAATCGGCGATCAAGATGTGATTGTTGCGAACGGTTTTCCTTCTTTTTTTTTTCTTTTTTTTCTTTTTTTTCGCTTTGTCTCATCTGCAGTTTTTTATTAGTAAATTACTCCCATCATCTCATTATACAAAATGAGAGGGAAAAAAATGTGGTTTCTATATATTGATATTTATTACAAAAACAGGATATTATTTATTTTTCTCTTGTACAATTTAAGAATCTAACAATGCAGTGAGTGAAATATTTTGCTGTTTGAGTTTTTTTTTTTTTAGATAATGGAAAACAGAAATTGATTTATTAACAATTTTTATACAATGAAATTTAAAAATATAGCATGATGGTAATTTTTATTGATTCTTATAATTTAGATAGGACGCATGATATTTGTATATTTTCAGTCTTTAGTCTTTACCCTCTTAAAATTGAGAAAAAAAAATGCGCTTTCTCAACATGATAATGGTGAGGAAGGACAAAAAGGAGAAAAAATATAGCTTTATCCTTAGTTAATTTTTGTATACATTAGAAAGACATTAAGCTCTTTTTATATAGATCAGAGAGACATTAAACTCTTATAATATGTTTGATTTAAAGGGAGGGAAATTAAAGGAATGTTGTTACAATCAATCAAATCATTTCATTGGGTTAATGATATAATTTAATTGCTCAAAATAAAGTCATTTTGCCTCTTCTCCTTTTTGTTTCTCTTGAACCAAATAAGCTATTAATTCTTAGGAAATGAAATTCCCATGGCATCAGTTTTAAACCAAATAAGCTATTAATTCTTAGGAAATGAAATTCCCATGGCATCAGTTTTAAACCAAATAAGCTATTAATTCTTAGGAAATGAAATCCCCATGGCATCGGTTAGCATGGTTTGAGAGAGACAAGGTAATGGATCATCTAAAATGGTAGTTCATTGTGGGTAAGCAAGGTCAACTTTTGCAAGATGATATGACACTGCATTGCCTTCTCTCGTGGTATGAATAAGGTCAAGCATTACTAACCTTCTTAGGGCTCTAGCATCTAATATAAGAATGGAAAGAATAGAGTCTATGGGATGATCTTGTGAGAGCATATGAATAGCAATTGCCAAGTCCATCTCAGCTACAAGCTTAATGAGCTTGTGATTAAGGCACAAATGAAGTCCCCATCTAATTGTCCAAATTTCTACAACAAAACTTGTGACAACTCCCAATATTGCCATAAGTCCGCATAGTCAAGATCTAGTTACATCTCTGATAACTCTGCCTATTAACATAGTGAGTGATGTGATGTAATGAGCCATCCATGTTAAGTTTGACTATGTTTTGTGGCAGGAGAATCCATTGTACCCATCATGTGTATGGTTGATTTCTTAGGGCGTTTACCTTGACCATTGCATCAGAAGCCATTACATAATTCAATGTTGTCTTAATTGTGTGAAGATGGGGTAGTCTCTGATTTTAGAATATAGGAATATTTTGAGCCTTTCAAAGGTGTCATCTTGTCTCTAGGAACACATGATGCCAAGGGAGGCTAGAGGAGGCATGCATGAGCAAAGATCTTGAGTGTGTCTGGAACCATGGTGCAAGGTTGAGCTTGAAGAAATTTGTTGGTACTTCACCCACCTCAAAAATTCTTTTAAAACAAACATAATTAAATTATTAGTAGAAGTATTGAAATTAATAAATAAATAAATAAACTACTTTTCAACTTTAAAACAAACGTAAATTTTCAATAGTAAAAGGCTATACTTACTTGATAAGGGCAAACTAATATATGTTAAATTAATGGTATACTAATTATCATGTGCCTTTTGGTGCCTAGTAGAGTTCCCTTTGGTTTTGCTTCTCCTAACAGGCTCAAAAATCCATTTTCAGCTTATTTTCAAAGTGGATAATGAATAGTTAGAACTTAGAAGGGTTTAATTACTAAATAAGAAACTATAAGGGCTCAACTACAATAATGAAAGAAATTCGAGGGCTTATAATTATTTAGAGGGAGTTTCTCTCAAACAATTTACAGAAAACTGAAGTGGATGGACGGTCACTTTGATAACCAGACCTTTGATATTGGCCTACCCTTTAAAAGTACGACTTTCTTAATTATTTTCAGAATTTTTCAACCTGTGCTTATGTAATTTATGTAATTTTTAACAATAATAATAAAAGTATTGAAAAAAAAAACTTTTATTTTATTATGTATTTGATTAAAATAAATTATATAATATTATTAATAAAATTAATGTTAATTTTTATCATTTTTAATATTAATTAATGTTAAAATATGTGTTGCAGTGTATGATGAAAAAAATCCTTAATATTTATACCTAGTACACGTTTTACTGTGTTTGGGTCAAATTGAAATAATTAGAACTAATACGTGTCATCCGTACATGAAACGAAAGTGCAAGAGACAATGATTAAGGAGAAAAGTTGAATTTGACTTTAATACAATGGTGGCGGTCTTACTAGAGTTACGAAACTCCTGACGACGATCAAAATGATGGTGTTCCCTGTTATCGCCACGTGTTCTGAGAACACGAATCAACTTGGACGTACGGTCTGATTCCCTCCCCTCCCAATGGAAAACATCACAGAGAATTCCATCTCAAGTATGGGCCCACAACTTAAAATTAAGTGGGGACACCACCGCCCTTAGATCCCAATCTAATAGGAACTCTTATCCTGTCCTGTCCTGATCTGATCTTCTTAAGAAAATGTTGGTCAAAACTAGATCTAGGAAACCGTGATGCAGCACTTACATCAAAATTGCTCTTTAACTTTCTAGTTTTAGTACTAATCGAAGTTTTGATTTAAAGATAAAAAAAAAAAAGTCACTTTCACTTTTTCCCTTTTTTTTTTTTTTGGGTTTTTTACTGCTTCCCTCCGGGTGATGTTGAAATTTAAAATTTTGAGAGATTTCTTTTTTTGAAACGAAAAATTGAGAGATTCCTAACTCAGTAATAATAGAAATAATACTGTACTTAATGTTTCAGTTGGAAAAGCTTGAATTGACTGCCATGAAATTTCCAACGGGAAGAAACACATACAAACATGTATGTAAATTAATATTGGGGGTGTGGCATTAAGTTTTAGAACAGTAGAATTTTATAGATTTAAAGGTAATAATCAAACCCAATCATTTAAAAAATTCAATAATTATTTAAAAAGAAGAGATTCTAAATTTAAATGGTATAGTATACGAGTAAAATGAGATAAAAGATAAAAAATAATATTCTTTTATTATGTAATAAAAAAAAACAATAATCAAAATAACTGCCTCAACCTGCCTTATTTTGTTCATATAAAGAAAATAAGGATGAGAGAAACTTAAAAGAGCAATGCGTGGTTGGGACAAAACGCTTTAGAGAAGGTGAGTCTAATGGGATTTAAATCATTTAATTATCTTATAAATGTACATTTTATTATTAATATCTTTTACTTTGATGGGACAAATTAACTAATTGAAATCTATATAGGAGAGAGGAATTAAGAGAGAAAATGAGCATTTAAACCTTACTTATATAAGTGAAGAAAGCGCCATTATATCAATAAATTGACCGATTACTCTATAACCTTCTTCAAATGTCCTATTAAATTAAATCTTTTTAGAGGAAAATTCTTTAATTTGGTTAAGATTTGATCTTTATTATTTATCTCTTTATTTAAATATTAAAAATGTAAAACTCTTACAATTTTATTACAATGTACTCATTTAAGAAAAGTTGGTTTTGATATAATGAATCAACATTCATATATGATATAAATTTATAATATAATAAATCAATATTCACATATGATATAAAATTTTCCAACTTTAAACAATATGGTGGGTCAATGTTTTTTTTCTTGAATGTTGAGGGTAAGATTCGAATCTTATACCGTCAAGTCATAGCATGAGAAATCATTTATAAGGATAAGATAACTATTAAGCTACAACGACGTTCTCTAGTGGGTTAATTATTTAGTTAATGAAGAACCTATACACATATGTGTATGAGACAAACATGACCGTGTTGGAAAGTAGCAGGTGCAATGTTTGGAGTACACTAGGGGAAGAATCTATCCATGCAAAAAGCAGAGTGTATGCCATCCCTTTTGCTGGGGGACAAACCAAAACTGCAAGCCTGGCTTTCTTATGGATGATGACTGTAGGAAAAAATAAAATAAAAAAACACACTAACAAGTACTAAAATACAAAATTTTTCCTTTTTTCAGGGTCTTCCAAATGAACTTTTACCTTATCAAACAAGTCTAAATTGTGTTCTGGTCCCACCCTTCTTCTCCTTCCCGAATCCAGCCTGTGGCTTTCTTCCATCCTCATCCCCAGCTTTAATCTTATTAGCTGTACCATTCCATTACCACAAATTAATACCATTGCTCTCATTTCAAATTTTCAACTACGCAATTAATATTTCATCAACACTATGTTAAGCCCCCACCCCTAGACTTTCCCTATCTTAGTATGTTAACGTCTTAAATTGAACAATCAATGCAAGTTGCCCCTAATTAACAGCTGCCGTTAGTCTCTGTTTAATGATTTTTTTTTGTTACATCTACATTACAATTAAGATACCAAGATTTCTGCCTCCGACTTAAAGAGATTCAATAGTAGTTAACTTTTGTTGAAAGGAATAAATATAAATTCAGATTATATGCTATGCGGATGAAATATATTAAAAGATAAGAAAAAGTTATTTTT